AAAAAAAAAAAAATGTGCCCATAATCGGAGGCATGGGTGTTTCTGGTATACCATCAAGTCTGTTTTGACTCATAGCGACTCTGTATAGGGTTTCCCAGGCTATAAATCTTTACAGGAGCAGACTCATCTTTCTCCCTCAAACCGACTGGTAGATTTGAACTTCTGACCTTGCGCTTACCAGCCCAGCTTGCGCTCCACTACACTATTGAGGCTCTTTAATCACAGGCATTGTTGTTGTTGTTAAGTCCTGTCGAGTTGGCTCCAACTCCTAGCAACCCCGTATAGGGTTTCCAAGGAGCGACTGATGAGTTTGAACTGCCGACCTTGTACTGATCCTACAGTACCATACTACAACTCTAATCACAGGCATGTTATTATTGTTAACTGCCGTCGAGCTGGTTCCGACTCACAGCGACCCTGTATAGGGTTTCCAAGGAGCAGCTGGTGAATTTGAACCACTGATCATGAGCTTCAAACTGACCTTGTGGTCAGTCTATTGCTTTATTCCACAGTGCCACACCATAACTCCAAAATCACAGGCATAGAAGGTAGGGTTTACAATGAAAACATGACAGAATGGAGAGATTTGGCTAGAAGGACCATCAGAAATAATTCACTGTCCTGGACACACACATGGACGATTGGCTAGGTTTTAAGGACAGTTTTAAGTCGTAAGCAAGTCAAGTTGGAAGGTTTTCAGCAATAGCTTGGTTTGGAACGTGGCCCTGGCAGACAGCATGCAGACGTGAGATGCTCAGAAGTGCGGTTGGTGCTGACCACACACAGATTGTGCTGATCCACCTGCAAGCTACTCCATTTCCTCCACGATGACGAATTCAGGTTCTTGGATGTCTATGTATGAGTGGACCTCTTCCCAGGGGATCTGAGAGAGAGAGAGAGAAAGAGAGAGAGACAAGAGAACAGCTGGTCTGTAAGAGCACAGACTACAGGGTCCCCACTGGTTCTCCAATCAGGGAAGTGTGATAGAGGAGGAGCCTGAAAGGTCAGCAGGTGTGATGGGGGTGGGGCTGTGATGGTACCTGAGAGCCCTGAGGAGGAGGGAGATAGAGAGAAAAAGTAGAGAAAGAGAGATGGAAATAAACAAGGAAGAAGGAGGAAGATAGATAGATACATACGTAGATAGCTCAATTAGATAGATGTGATAGATAAAGAGATGATAGATAGATGATAGATAGATGATAGATGATAGATAGATGTGATAGA